TGTGGATGGGGTTATGTTGGTATCGTTGCTGAGTTTTAACGCCTATTTGATTTATGTTTATTTCATGCAGTTACTTTTATATGTGTTTCTGTTTAACATATGGTTGCCCCGAAGAAAGTTTCATCGTGGTTTATGAGTACAAATCAAATCAAAGTTTAGATGGGAATTTGCCTATCACTTTGCCTATCATGTTGCCACGTATCGCCTCCTATTCTTTTGATTTGTTTTTAAAAAATAGGATTATGTAACATGAGAGATTTCCTTCAATCCCTGTTAAATATTCAGCTATATTTTTGCATAGTTTGTACGAACCAGGCTTGCAAAGTAGTAATAGCGAGAAGGCACACATGCTGAGGAATAACCTAGTTGCCTGGATGGCACAGGAAAATCATCTTGACTTACTTATATTAATGTGCTATGTAAATGAGAATATGGAAAGAAACGGTCAGAATTTATGCTAAAGCCTTCTAAAGGCATAACAGCATCCTACTAAGTATATATGTCAGCTTAATCTAATCCCCCTGCTTCCAACACATCCTGTGGTCTCAGCACGGTGCCTATAATGCTCTCATATGTTAGGAGGGATTGCCACAGAGAAGTTCACCATCAGAACTGCACTTGGTTCAATAAAACTTTACATTTCATCTTAGGCTGACAGAAAGCTATCTTTCTCACATTTGCATCACAAACCTTTAGCTTCTTCTGACATCAATAACATTGGCTATAATACTTCCCGGTAATCTGTTACAACACATGGGGAGCACATATTCTCAGTCCTCATCTTACTTTGTCAGTTGCAGTGGGCTGCTCTAATTTACTCAGACTTGGCTAAATGAGCACTGAAATTCTTTGTGACAAAAGGGGGAGAAATACATGCTTTTAATTAGCAGCTCAATTGAGATTTGCTGCAGAGTTTCCTTTTGCCCGCCTCCAATAACTTCTACTTCTACTTAGGAAAAGCATCTTTCCTTCCTCTTTGTATGTGTACTGAAGAATGAACTGCAAGAATCTCCTGACATCTGCAGGAGTGTATACAGCTTCAAAACAAGAAACAATTTTGTTTTTTTATTTTTAAAACCAGAAAAATCAAATCAAATTAGTCTAAGTTACAGTACTTCAATACTTTCTTTTCAGATATTTTGCTGTGTAAGAAAGCTAGCCAAATGTCAATGTAAAATTGATACATGCTTTATTTCCACAATCGTCCATGAATATTAGTCCCCCACCCCTGTATTTTAAAGCCAATAAAAAGATTATGCATGTTCTTTGTTTGAGTGATACAAAGTATTGTCTTGCAAATCCTATATTTCATACTAAGTGGGACTAAAACTAACAAACTCTAGTGAAATGGGTTTGGATTTTTGTTCTAGGGAAAGCTTATCATTAAAGAGAAGGACACACCAGGACAGGGGCAGATTTGAAGCTTAGAGGAGCTACGTTGTTTTCTACTAGAAACCCATGGTTCACGAAAGAGTCGCGTACAAAATAATGGCTGAAGGAGGTAGAACTGCAAAACCAGGTCTCTGTAATACCAGAAGTGTGTTTTTTCCAACCGGAATTCGATCTCCCCCCTCAAAATAAACCCTACTTCTATATTCTTCCACGTTTTCTTGACTAACTCTAATTTCAGAAAGAGGGGGAAAACTTTCTCTTGTCAATGTCATTGACATGATTGGGTATTGGAAATCAGCTGGGTATCTGCCACTATATCCTAATCCATATTGTGCCCATTCCTACCTTAATGGAGAAAGCAAAAGTTTCCCTGTATTGCCAGGGATACATTAAGGCTGTGGCTGCTGTAACATAAGTCAGCATCTTAGCTGTACAGATAAAAGCAAATATGTATTGGCTGAAAGCCAGCAGTACAAGTTACGCTGCATAAGGCTGATGATGTCATCAAACGCAACGATTTTTTCAGAAATTAACAATTTATAATCCCCCTCTGGTAGGACCCAGGGCTCCTTTGAGATCCATTTTGTTGTGGGGAAGCTGTTAGGGGCTGGGGGACATGGAAGAGTTTTTAATTTTTGAAAATTGCCATCACCAGTAAAAACATCTGGCTGGCAGCAAATTTTGGAAATTAAAGACTTTGTCCTGCAGCTCCCAACAGTTTCCACACAACGAAAGGAATCCAAAGAGAGCCACAGGATCTTCAGGAGCAGAGATCATACATTTTTAATTTCCAAAATATCACTGTGGCTGATGATGTCATCTGTTTTCCACATATTTCTCTACTGATTAAAAGTATTTTAAGCCGCCACTCACTCTTAACGGATACCATAGCATTACACAAAAAGGAATGAAAAGATTAAAATGTGCAACAAATACAAATACCAAAACAAAAATAAAAATAGAACAAGCAACATGCATCAGCCTGGAGGGTAAACTATGCCTAAACCAGCTTTGAAACTTTAAAATGCACGGACAATTAAATCATTCAGTCTAGTGTTCAAATGACAGTGATATAAACACCAGCCAAGACTCTAATTCTTCCAAAATAAAGGATTCTCAGGTACATCCTTCTCTGCAGATCTCAAGCATGGACAGGATGTTACAGGAAGAGGAAAAATTTTGGATAGGTTGCTTTATATCTAGAGCCATTTAAGGCTTCAACTGTAAGCATTGAAACCTTTAATTGAAAGTAGATAGAAAGATACTATAGCTTTTCAAGACTGTAATATGCCCACATCCAGTTGTACCAAGCAGAATTTAGGTAGTCTTATTCTCCACTAATAGAACCTTCCACGTGATCTTCAAAGGCAGTCCCACCTACAACATGTTACAGTAATCCAAGGGCAGTTACTAGAGTGTGAGAATCAGCAAAAGCTAGACAAAACCATATCATAACAATGCCATGTACCTACTTTACATACCAAGCTATGCACTTCTCTACATGATCAGGTTACCGAAAATTAGAGCACAAAAATTATTCTGCCTATATTTCATATTGATTTTTTAAATAAAAAATATGGCAGTCAAATATAAAAAAAACACGAACAACTAAACATCGCTTGAAGCATTTGTGACTCACAAGGCAGAGGATGGGGGGAGATAAGAAAATTTGCAAGCTGGAAGCATGTTCTTTGTCTCTTAAAACAAAGCACTGTACAACAAATAATGTTCCGCCAGGCTATATGTTCATTCTTTGCTTGGTGCATTAGCTGTGCTTATTCTATGCACACTTTTATAGCTTTCTATTTTTATATTTTAAATCTATTAAGCAATGTCAACTTGAATTTCCTCTGAATAGTGCTGCAGGTTAGGTTTAAAAAAATAGGACAGTACAATCTTTGAGGCTAACATTTATGTCAGCTAATTAATATGGATCAGTTGAGTTTTGCAAATATCTTTTAAAAAAACATGTTTGCGCCTGTGTGAGTCACCAAGGCAGGCCTGGTCTCTACCCACACAAAACTCCACTGATTTTCGTGAGAGAAAAACAGGACCTGCAGATATTTTGGAGTCACAGTGGACAGGTACAAAACAGCTTCCCCCAAAAAGCCATCTTATACAACTGTGCCTGTGGAAGTCAATTCTTTACACAGACAATGTCTCTGCACAGGCTCCACTCCATACATGGGTAACCTTCTGGGTTGGCTTGGAGGGACCTTCCAGGACCCTCTTGGTCCTGGGCCCCAATCCCCAATTATCATGTGGGGAATGTGGCATGTGGAGAGCATGTCTTGTTCTCCAGCAGAATTGGACTCTCGAGACCTCCCTCCCCACAAAATGGCAGATTTTCTTGAACGTTTGTGCTAGCAGTAGGGATCCAGATAGGTGGATGGGCTAGACAAACGGACAGGGGATGCATGCGGCCCATCAGCTGTGTATGGCCCGTCACTGCTCTTCTCATTAGAACACTGTGAATAATATCAACTCCATTTCCCTCCATACATTCTGTAAGAATTTGTCTGTCACTGAATTTTATCACAAATATTGATTCTGACCCTGATCAGTGCTCCTTATGTACACTTGAGATGGCTCACACAGACACATGGATTTAATCAGAAGGGGCTGCCCACCTAAAGCTCTAAATACTATCAAGCAAGCTATTCCTGGCTCCCTCTCTAGCAAACATGGAGTCAGGGCCCAGCCTGTCTTCTCTCCTG